GCAGGAAAAAAAATTGTGAACCTGTGAAGGTTACACAAAAACACTTTCTTGTGTTAATAATAATACAGGTCAAACATTCAATGAGAGCATCTTCCTTTATGCTAAGTAAAACGCTACAGCCAGTAGCTGGTTAGCTTATCCTAGCATTTAAACTACAGACATGTTAAAACAAAAAAAAAAGTGTTATCTGCCTTACCAAAGACTTCTCACAATATGTAAACTTAAGGAAATCGGAACCAGCTGGTAACGCCTCCCAAAATCCAAACTTGTTCTCTTAAAAAAAGGCCTAAAGTTAATTAATAATGAAAAGAATTCTATCGGCGTAGTGTGAACATCGAGATAACTCCAGTATTTTAAGTGTGAAGACCTTTTTATCATTAGAGCATGGCAAAAAATGAGCAGCTTTGGAATAAAATAGGTTTTCCTTCAGGGCCAGTTTACTAACTGAAGCCTTTAAATGTATTCCACATATGTAAACACACCCACTCATAGATGCACAATTTGCATCTGTTAGAGGTGCACGGCATGCGCTAAATGCTACTGACACAGCGTTTGCATCACCGTCTAATGGAATCGTCATGTTTATGGTGAGATATGCATAATACATTCATCTTTACATAGATGCTGCTTTTTCAGTTTAGTGTTAGGCTTCTGGCTTCTGGGTTGGACAGGCAGTGGAGGAGAGACCCTGACAAAGGCTGGTACAACGGTGAAAAAGAGACGGGACACATCAGAGAAAAAACAAGAGGAAGCTATATTAGTTCTCCCTTTTTTAGTTCATTACAATGCAATGTGCGTTACTGGCATGCATGTAAAGAACAATATCATCAAAGCAACCAGATGAAAGAATGTGTTAACATAAAATCCCTTTCGGCTCTTGGATGCGTCAGTCTGTTTGTTTCTGTTCCTTTTTGATCGAGGATTTGGACTGTTTGAATAAAGATATTTCATCAGTGTATTTCATGCATGTGGAGGTTTACCACTTAATTCATAATCCACATGCATATTTCCCACTACTTGTATAACTAACAAGTAGAGGTAAGACAAAGTCATTGTTTAGCGACTGTGGCTATGAGGTAGAATCCAATCCGTAGGTCAGTGGTTTGATTCCCAGCCCCTGCAGTCAAGATGAAATTGTATCCTTGGGAAAAATTCTTAGAGACTTTTTGGTGAATGTTAGTCTACCTGAGCAGGAGGCCCCTTGTATGGCAGCCCTTGACTTTGTATGTATGTGTGTGAGTGGGTCACCTGTATATTTAAAAGTGCCTTAGGGGTCTTATAGGACTGGAAAAGTACTATATAAATGCAGTTAACTTACCATTTACCAATTTTTGCAATTCTTTATTAGACTTAAGACTTGTGACTTGTCCACTAAAATACAAGATTTTAAATTATTGGCTGTCGGCCGGATGCCAATGTGGCAATAGGGAGTATTTTGAGAGTTACCCGGGCTAATACTTTTTCTTCAGTGCAGCAGTGGTTGCTTTCACTCCAACTAGAAACGCTGGGTTACGTATTGTAACCCTTGTTATATTAACACAGACGGAGCCCTCTACTGGACTCTATGGGTACTACCCTCTATGCAAACATTCACCTACTGAGATTTATATAGACGTAGCCGGCTCCGGGGCGGGCCTGCCTGAATGCGCGCGCATCTCACCATATAAAAGGAGGCCTCGCCTCCTGACTATCATCCTACACCTCTCTTCAGCGAGCGATATAGGACAGACAGTGCCCTGAGTAGAGGGCTCCGCCTGTGTTAATATAACAAAGGTTACAATACGTAACCCAGTGTTATATCTCTCACAGGCTCCGCCCTCTACTGGACTCTATGGGTACAGTGGGTGGAGCCCTGATGTATACGCGCACTGTCGTCCAACAACATCATTCCACCCTACTGCCCCTGACCGGCTTTTCTGGTCAGCAGCTGCTGCCCCACATTCTCCTTTAACCCGGTTGTGACCGTGGAGAAGTCTGGGCTGCGGCTGACAGAGCACACTCTGCTGCGCTTACCTCGCATAAAGTGTGCTCACAAAACAATGCTGGGCCCCCCCCCCCCCCCTCCGCCCATAGGCAGATGGGGAGAACCCTCAGCCCTGTATGGGCTCACTGTGCACCTACCCCCCTGAGTCCCTAAGGATCACAGGGAGAGCGCCAGTGCCCTGCCTCTCGGCAGGAGGAGAGTAGCCCTTCAGCCCTGTAAGGGCCCAGCGCGCACCTCGCCCATGCCAACTGACCCACAGCCCCCCCCCCTTCCTCACCAGTCCTGTGTTGCCCCAGCAAGCACAGACGAGGAGAAAGAGCCAGACATGTCCAAGAGATAAAACCTTATGAAGGGGCCTGGCGTCGACCAAGACGCCGCTGTGCATAAATCCTCCACACTCCGTTGAATAAGGCTGTTGACACAGCTACAGCCCGAGTGGAGTGCGCACGAATCCCCGTAGGGCAGGCCCTCCCCGCCTGTCCGTAGGCATGTGCAATGCACTCGCAGAGCCAGCCTGCCAGGCGTTTCATGGACAGAGCTTTCCCGATCACACCGCCCCCGAAGAACACGAACAGCTGTTCGGTGCGTCTAAGGGCAGCCGTGCGCTCCACATAACATGCAAGCGCACGCACCGGGCAGAGGAGGTGCAGTTTAGCTTCCCTGGCCCCACCATGGGGGGGAAGACTAAAACCCCCTAACTGAATAGCCCTCGACCTGAACGCACTCCTTAGGCTCTTGGGCACAAAGGAGGGGTTCGGTCTGAGTGTTGCGCCGCTCCGGTCACCCCGAATCAGTAAACAGCTCGGGTGCACCGACAGAGCGGTTAACTCGGACACTCTTTAGGCTGACGTTAAGGCAAGAAGCAAAGCTGTCTTCCACGACAGTGCTTTTAGGGAGGAGAGCTCCAGATGGCTCAAATGGTTCTAAGACCAGAGCCTCGAGCACTAGGGGCAGGTCCCACTGCGGGGTGGAGGCATGCACTACTGGGCGCAGCCTCCTGACCCCCTGCAAAAACCGCGACATCAGTGGTTGACTAAAGGCTGACCTGCCGCCAAATCCCTCATGGCAGGACGAGATGGCTGCTGCATACACTTTCACTGTTGAATGCGCAAGCCCTCTGTCCACCAGTAACTGTAAGAAGGATAAAATAGAGCCTAACTCACAAGATAGGGGCTCTATTCTCCGCTCCTCACACCATCGGCCACTTTGGCCTGTAACAGGCTGTGGTGGATCGAAGAGATAATACATTTTACAGCGTAGGTAGACCAAATGTTTGGAAATGCATGTGACTATAATAAGAAGATGAATCCACGAAGATGTCAACAATCCTGTGGGAGCCATCAGGGAAGCAGCATGACGAGACCCAGGCAGGACCGCAGAGACAGGCCCATCACACTCATTATTACCTGTACATGATGAACAACTGAGTCAGAGTTGTTTTATTTTAATTGGATTGTATTATATGTCCTCAGTTTGAATGGATGGGTTTATTTCAGAATTATTTTTTTCAATAATGTATTAATATTGGCTTACTTTATTTGCATTAGGAGCATTTGATGTTGGTTTTCACTGATGAATCCATGCCATTAAAAATAAGTTTTTTCTTACGTCTTTCTAAATTTGAATATATTGTAGTAAATGTAACCATTCATTGCTTTGACAAATGTAATATTGGTTATGGTTTCGGGGACAAATAAGTCAAATGTGAGGGGTTCATAAAATGCTGGATGATTTGTGTGTGTGTGAGAGAGAGACACAGAGAGAGAGAGAGAGCCACAGCCATACAAGGAAAGGTAACCAAATCACTGGAGGAGAAAACAACATGCTGCAGATGGATTGATGAGGAGGAGAGACACAGAGAGATGGATGGATGAATAAAAAGCTTTCCAGGCCTCAAGTTCAATGCTCAGTGGTCCTGGTTAGGTCAATGACTGAAAAACTCCTCCTGCATGACACACACAAACAAACACAGATACACATACACACACACACACACACACACACACACACACACACACACACACACACACACACACACACACACACACACGCACACGCACACACACAGAACTGATCGAATAAGTGGCAGATTCACTTAGATGAGAGGTTATAGGTAGGGCAGGTCCTGTGCATGTGTGGGAGAAAAAGAAAGAGAGATCAATGAGGTCCTTTGTGTCTGGAGGTGAACTTGGGAGAATACACACAGCAAGGGCTACACGCACACTCTCGCAATTTCACACACCGACACACAAAAAACAGTTACCATCACCTTGAGCAGATGTTGGGACTTCAAATACAAAACGATTTTTAAACACATTGCGTCAAACACATCACAAGAAACAAGTAACTTCATAGCAAGGATGGATGTACTGTGTTATCTATATCGTCCAGCAATGCTCCATTACAAACACGACACATTTTCCACAGAGCCTACCTGTCTTTTAAGTTTGTGCTTTAGTTCTGTTCTTGCACACCTGATCCAATTAAGAGCCATGATTCCATTAGGTGTGCTAACCTGGTGGAAAAATGTGGCTTTATGACACTATGTCACAAAAAAAACATTTTATTATTTATTATTATTATGTGGAGTCGAGACTCTGGGTACCTGATAATTGTAATTCCAATATTGACTTGCCTGTTAACCACTCTTCAGTAATCTTCTGAGGAAAATGAGTGGCTCTTAGGCTCCTGAATGCTAGCCGCTATGTTTGCCTGCTAGCATGTGTGACTTTTGTTTGATCCTGGGCAAGTATGATGTCAATGTTCTTTTTTTATCAGAGTCTGTTGAAAAAAAACAATGCTTGCTACGACTGACACAAAAGAGCAGTACAAATTGTGACCTGCAATTCCAAAACCAATAGCATAACTGAAAATGCTAAAACAATGTAGGGCTAACAGTAACTGTAGAGTAGGGACATCATTATGTGTGGTTATCCTTTTCAAATGAGACAATCAATTACTCCAGTAAAAGAACACATTCAAAATGTAGACAATGTTGTGTTTTTAATCTCTTCAGGAACTCAACATACTGCATGAAAGTGTCCATGTCGATGACTGTGGACGAGAGCGACGAGGGGAAATGCTTCAGCAGCAAAATCCGACACGTGGAGAAAGCCGAAATAACCCACAACAAAATGATCATCTGTCCTGATATAGGGGACTATTTGGCTCCATACAAGCAGCCACAGATGACCTGGTATAAGGTAAGACACAGAAAAAGACTCATCTTTTATTCTTCTGTAGTCCGTTCCACTTCATCAGCATGTGTCTCTTCTCAGGAGTGTGAACGGGTTGAATGGAGAAGCTCCATCATTGTTAACACTACACACGTCTGGATTCCTGAGGTGGAGGAGAGTGACGGGGGAAATTACACCTGTGAGTTACAGTATGGCTCCAGACATGTGCGACGAACGACTCAACTCAAAGTCACAGGTAGGACACGGTGCATGGATGTATGGATGTATGGATGAATGCTCCCGTAACTTGAGCAATATCATGTGGCGTCTTTCTGCATGGATTGGTGGATGGATCCTTGAAAAATAGAATGAGAAATGAAAGAGTTTAGGACAGAAAACAATTGAGAGAGGAAGCATTGGACCTAAGGATTGGAATTAGAAATTGAATGATATTGATTAATCCTCAGGAAAGCCTTCACCTGGGCCTAGACAGGCAAGGGGAATCTAACCAGAGGGCCTGAGGCTGTAGTCCTGCTCGTAGAGGGTCAGGATGTATGATTATTACAATTTTGAAAGCTAGTGAAGGGAAGCAAAAATAGAATTATTGTGGGCAAGCTTGCTTGAATTTGTTAAGCTTATTGCTGCAATGTGCAGTTATTACAATAAAGAGAAGGAGATCTCTGGCGTGAACCTGAATATATCAAATGTGATAGAATGGCATAAAATAAAGGCATGGTAAAGTTGCCTTATGAAGTGACAAAGAGGAGGTCACTGATTCATATTGGTTGCAATTTCTTGTCAATAAAATGAAGGAACATCAGACATTCAGCACTAAATCTGATCAAGGCTGTAAATGACATGTACAAGATTGGGATTTCCCGCTGATGTTATTGGTAAATAAGTTTGGTGGTGTTCAATTTGTTTTTGCTAGAGATGTTGCTGAGAGTAAACAAAACACTAGAGTGGTCTTCCAATTGAGCCATGTGGCACAGCACACATGAAAAAGGAATACAACAAGATATGATAGGATGAAATGGAATGGCTACAGAGAATACAGATATGATTGGATGGGGCCTCTGTAATACTGTTTGACAGTGCAAACATGTACATTGTAAAAGTATGGGGTGTCTATTGGGTCATCCAGACTCAGAGAGTATAAGCAAAGGTGGAAAGAATACTTAGATCTTATACTTAAGTAAAAGTAAAAATACCACAGTGTAGAAATACTCAGTTTGACCCTGCTTTCAACATGTTATTTAAGTAAAAGTACAACAGTACTATGCTGTTGATGCTGTATGATGTCTGATGCTGTATGATGTCCTTTGATGCTGTATGATGTCCTTTTTGTTGTTCTGTTTATGTTTTTAATGTTTCATGTGGAACCTATTTGAGCAGGTCTCCCTTGAAAGAGATCAATGATCTCAATGGGATACAACCTGGATAAATAAAGGTTTGAAATGAAACTATCAAAATGATATGTAATGTAAAATAAGAACTCATTATGCAGAACGGTTACTTTCAGAATAATATATATGTATAACGATAATATGTTTTTGCTTGGCAGCTTGAACATTTACCCAAGGTAAAACTAAACGTGTTGATTATATTTGATATACATCATGTCTTGCTACTGTCCTTGATGGGAATTTTTGGTTCTCTGTAAATATTATAAATATGGTCTGGATGTACTCTATAGGAAAAGTTCCCTGAGATAACTTCTGTTATGATTCGGCACTATAGCAATAAATTGAATAAAATGTATATACGTGCATTATACCCCTCAGAGTACTTTCGGGTAAACTGACAAATCAAAGAGAGTGGGCTCAAACCAAATGCAGGAATATGTACTTTGTCTGCTTTTAATATGCAATGGATCTCTCAGTGACTCCAGAGCATCCATTATTTTTGACAGATGCCCAGACTCAGCAGTACATCATTCATCATTACTACAGCACTTTTAAAGTTTCATTTTTGCACAATACAACTCTACTCTATAACAGCGGAGTGCTTTTACATTCTTGGCACCATTTTGGGTATTCGCTCTATTTGCTTTAACCCCAGATTAAACATACATTGTGTCAAGCTGCAGTAGCTTTGGTGACTCAACTTTAACTCGGCAGTTCCATCAGCACTTTTTCACTGTGTCAGAGTGTGTGTGGGAGAGGGGGGGCCGCTTTCTCTGAGTGTGAGCTTGTGTTTCTTTATTGTGCCATGTGCAATATGCATTTTCATATGAACAACAATGACAACATAGAGTTTCTACATAGAAAATGTGTGTTATTCCAGTATTTCCTACATATTGTAATGTGATGTGGTAGGTTGTATAGTGTGAAAACAGATATGTCTTGAACAATATCCACTTAGACTATTCTGTCTTGCATTAAGGTCTCCATATCTATTACATTTTAATACCCAGAACCAAACTCTTTCATCTTGCACTTTGTGATCTGGTTCAGATATATACGGAAACCTTTTGTTGCGTAGTCGATGCGAACTTAATTTGTCAAGGAATTATTCAGAAGCACTTCCCCCTCAGATCCCTTCATCTACTCTCCTGTGGAGGAAGATAAGATGGGAAATCACTTTTTTTACCCGTGAGTTTATTTTTTGAAGAAGGAAATAGATTTTGTGACATCTTAACATCTTTTATACTTGTCCTCGTGCATGCAGAGCTCAAAGGATGTAATGTTCAATAATGTTAAGTTAACAGATATTACTGCACAAAGGTTTACAGTACTATAGGTTTTGTTAAAATGCTTCATTCAAGGGTACAATGTTATTTTGTTACAGCCAAAGAATGACATTCTGGCAAAAAAACATAGGTGGTTGAGATATATACGGAAGCTGGTGTAAAAATGCAGCTGTAATTATTTTCTCTATATTTTTGTTGACTAGTTTTGACTTATTTCCCCAAAAAACAATTTAATTTGTCATAAGGATTATTTGTAATATCATATTTACAATGTGAATGCTCACATGTTGTTCCTCAAACTTACGATTGCCTAACTGGTCAGGGTATAGTGTTTTGGTGAACCTTCAAGTTACTCGTTAAGTGAAACTTCATTTGAACAAAGAATATTTTGCACATTACTGCATCTTTGATATATTTCCAAATGATGACGAAAATTCAAGTACCTTCCACTTGTCAACTCTTAAATGTTCAGATGCCTGATCTCTGTGGGTGCCTCGCCCTCTGCCCCTCTATGATACTTTGATTGTGACTCAGAAACCTTTTTCGCTTTAAACCATTCTGTCTTCAAATGGGGTTGGTTAACACGACAATGGTGAGATTCCCTTACATTACAGGCAGGCTATATTGAACATGTACAGTAGCGTATGCGTAGAGTTGCAGCAGCCGATTTGCAAGCTCTTGATCACTTCTACTACAATCAATGAAACTGAAAGAACAACAGGAGTGAGTGCAGCAGTGTGTACGTGCTATGGAGATCCTAATTTCTCGTATACAGGTTTTGCTTTACACATCGAATAGCGCAAGTGCCAAGGGTGACACAAATCAAAAACCTCAAGGTAACGTGAGGTCAAGAAGGGAATCATGTTGTAGGGAATACAAGTAGGGTGTAAGTACATTTCAAGCTCTCAGTAAAAACAAACTATGTAAATATGTTCAAAGAGTTGTGTTATGTCATTAGTTCAAATTGCATGCAAAATGATCGTCATGCTTATCGTTACTCTGGGTTATTTTATCATCACAAGGACACAACAACCCAGCACCAGGAAAAGCGCAATATAAATGTAATGTATTATTATTATTATTATTATTATTATTATTATTATTATTATAATATAATGACACCACAGTGAAATACCCAGTCACTTTTATTGTCCTAGCTATATTTATTTACTACATCATATCCTCGTGTTGTTTTTGCGGGCAATACAAAGATAAGCAAACTAACATATGGGAACCAGACTCAGTGAAGCAATATAAGCATTAATGAACCACGATTTGTGTTTCAGCCTGATGCCACACACAGAGGGGCCAATTTATCCCGTCCTGTTTTGGAAGCCACCATATCGCTCTGACTCTTATTACTTCCTAGCCTCTCTCCACTCCTCTCTATTTTTGTCCCCATTTAGATCTTTGACTCCGCTGTCTGCCTGTTTTCTCTACGTTTCTACACAAACAGCTAAGAGCCAAATCTCTGATCATTCCAAGCCAATGCTCATGACCAACGGCAAGATTTGCGTGTGTCTCTGTGCATGCACAAAAATACAAATGTGTGCATGTGGTGTTAGATTTGCTACATCATGGTTTGCTGTTAAGAATCCATCTCATATCGTGGGAACAAGGATTTCTTCGACGTTAGCTCAGTATTTCTGACAGCACTCTTCCACTGTAAAGGATTTTCAGTGAAACAAGCCCTTAAGACATCTGTCAGTGTGTGCCAGGCCTTTGCTAAACATCTCCGTCCTTGATACTGTAGCTAGGTCTGTGTCCCCTTGGCAGCAGGCTTTATCGCCGTGCTCTCAACAATAAATGGAGATTAAAGCAAAGACACAGGAAGAGCCCGCAGATCAGCTGCCGGCTATGATTCCAGAAAAATACACTTAGCTGAAAAGAAGTGCTGGAAATAGACCAGAAATCGGCTGTGAGATTAAAGAAAAGCCTGCAATGGGGGAAAGATGTTCTAAATATCTCAATGTGCTTTATTCAGAGCTTCTTAATGTTAGTTTCTTAAACATGCAAAGCTTTTAATTAACCGATGCCCCCGAGGGGAAGTGTTCACTTTGTAAAGCTGGGATAAAGCACTTGTGTTAACAACGCTGTTCTTACTGTCAACTCCTAGCCCTGGGATGTTCTTGTGTCTTGGCTAACTTTCCAACATCTAGGGTCACTGTGCTTCAGTGCTTGTCTTGAGATACTGAAGGCTTAGCACTTGGATGAATTATCAAACAATCAAGTACAATTAGTCATAATACAAAGATTACAAATTACATTTGGATGCTAAGAAAAGTTGGAGAAATGAAGATGGACAGCACTCCAGAAATGTTGAGGAATGTTGGAAATGGTGCTCCAGCGGTTGTGTTTCCATAAAAACAAAATTTAAATAACACGTATTACAGCATTTTATATTTTGAAAGTGCCAACTAAAAAGTGCACTGTGCTCCAGATTTGTCTCCCTTTCACCTATCAATGGACTAAGTCCGTACAGTCTCTCTAAGAGTCGAAATTGTGGCAAAAGCCAGGATTATATTCAAGTTGTAACATGCCTAACTTTAGTGGATCATAACAAT